AGAAGCACGAACAGCCAGTGCAGGGCGGGCTCCACCCTTCTGACCTGCAGCGCAGGCTGCAGTGAAACAAGGCGGGAAATCAGTGAGTTTGAAAACTGGAAACCTAATACTTACGCAGCCACCCAGCTACCCGACTCAGAGAAGCTACTGAATCGGAGTCTTGCTGTACTCAGAACAGGGGCCCTCTTCAATGAACTGCACAGTGTCCGTCAGTTTCTAAATCCTAGCGTCCTGTGAAGGCCATCACATCGCTAATGATAAACGAATAAGCACGCGTGGAGTGCCCCGTGCTCATTGCTCACGCACTTTGGAGTCATGTAATGGAGTCATGATCCTTGCCCTAGGCCGTCCATCACTTAGCAAGACTTAGCATCATTTTAGCAGTCAGCCACCGCCCTGCAGCACTGTGGAGTCCCTCACTACAGAAGAAGTAATAAATCGCACAAGAGTTGCAAAGGCAATTTTGCATAGGTACCAGAAACCTTTGTAAGGCCACGGAATTTTTTTTCCTCTCTCTTTTGCTAGAGGGCATAGGTAGTTGGCAGAGAGAGGGAGGGAGAAAGCACCCTCTCACAAGACTTCTCTTTTGCCAGAGTGTGTATGCTCTTGCGAGAGAGAGACAGAGACAGAGACAAGGCGAAAGCACCCCCACACATCACAGGGCATGGTCGTGCCACGGTCCCCTCTACTCCATTTCTCCATCCTGTTGGGGTCTGGGGTATAAACATACATGCACCCAGTGTGTTTCCCAAGCTGCTGGGTCCAAGACTCGAACCGCATGGTCGGGTAAAGCCACAAACTTTGATCATTTCATTGCAGAAATGTTTGTAACCATTTAGAAATTGGAAATAATATGTCCACCATGGACAGACTGAAGAAGCAATTAAATTGTTTGCATTCACTGTAATGGTGACTTAGAATCATATTTAAAAACATAGGCAAATGCTCAAAATGATATTAAACAAGAAAAGCAATATGCAGAATTACACACGTGGCATGACCATAATTAAGTATGACGTATACACATACCCTACCCTGTTAGGTATGTAATGTGTTGGGTTGTCGGAAAACTCATCATGTATTTTTTCTACATAAAAATGTGTCATGACTTTTCCAACAATCCACTATCATATTTGCAAATAAGACCAGGAGGACGGACAACCTATGAATAGTAGATCTCTCCGGGTATATTTTCTTTTTCTTTTTTTGGAGAGATTTATGCTATGGGGCACATGTGCTCACCAGAGAGAGAGAGAGACAGAAAGTGAGAAATCACCCTCCCCAGGGGGATGGCTGTGCCACAATCCCCTCTCCTCTGTTCTCCTCTGGGATCTTGGGCACACATACACGTGTGCCAGGCGTGAGTTTCGAGCCTCTGGGTCTGGGACTCAAACTGTAGTTGGCTATGTGGGAGTCCAGCAACGTAACCATTATGCCATCTGCTGGTCCCTTATTTTTTCCTCTGTGTCTTCATACTCCAAATTCTCTACTATGGCATGTAATAACTATAATCAAACGTTTAGTATTTACATGAATGAAAAGTACAAAACAACGGAGGCTTTAGCAATTACTAACTTATTTTGGCCCCTAAATGCATTGGTGTTCAGACAAGGAGATCTCATTATGGGCTGTTAGGCCAGAATAGCTCTAGAGGGGGGGCTCATCATAGGGTCTTTACCGTGCAAGTAGAATTGAGGTTTATAACCAGTGCTTAAGAGCACAGACGCTAGAACTGGATTTGGTAGGTTCAAATCCTAACCCTGCCACTTGCCCACTAAGTGAGTTTAGGCAAGTTCTCAAATTCTCAGTTTCCCCATTTATAAAATAGGACTGGGGGCCAGCAGATGTGTCGTGGTTAAGGCGCTGAACTTCCACGTGGCCAACCCAGTTAAAGTCCCAGACCTGGAGGCGTAAAACTCATGCCAGGCATGTGTGCGTGTGTGCCCAAAGTCCTAGGAGCAGAACAGAGGAGAAGGGATTGTGGCGTGGTCATCCCCCCCCGGGGGGGGGTGATTTCTCACTTTCTGTCTCTGTCTCTTTCTGTCTCTCCAGTAAGCACACACACCCTATAGCAAAAAAATCTCTCTAGCAAAAAACCAGGACTGGCATCAGTTGTCTCTGCAGAGTTTTCGGCAGGAGGAGATGAATTAATGCAGGGAAGCATTTTAGGGCAGCACCTGCCCGGCACGCAGGAACACCGAGGAAGTGCTAACATAACGTAACACAGTACGTTACCATGTAATGACTTAAAGGGCATTTTAGCTGGCATGGTAACAGTGGCAGTGCACCTTTTTGCTGAATTCTTACTATGTATCAGATGCATGCACAGCTCACACCTCTATGAAGGAAGACCCATTTCTTTTTTTTTAGAGATATTTTTGCTATAGGGGCGTGCGCTTGCCAGAGAAGCAGAAAGTGAGAAATCACCCTCCAGGGGATTAGCCATGCCACGATCCCCTCAGAATTTTGGGTACTCACACACACATGCCTGGCTTGAGTTTTAAGCCGCTGGGTCTGTGATTTGAACCACAGTTGACTACGTGGGAATCCAGCAATGTAATCATTACATCATCTGCTGGTCCCAGAAAGGCCCATTTCGATGCCTAATTTCCAGATGAGCAATTAAGGTGCAGGGAGGCCAACTTCCCAAGGCAGGTGGCTGACCAGCACTTGATCCCAAACCCATCTGAATGCAGGGCCCACCTTCATCATGGTGCCATTCCGTAGGGCATGGAAGACAAGCCAACCAAGGCAGGCGACTTGCTTTTGAAGGGTCCAGGAACTACCACTGGCTCAGTGCATAGGATCCGATCAGTGAAAGTCAGGTAAGGGAGCTGAGCTGTAGCTCATTCCACAACTGGGCTCATTCCGTTACTGGGCACACAGGAAGAACTCTCTGAGCACAGTAGTCGCAGGATAAAACAGAGGAGTGTATCCAAAGCAGGCTGGCAGATACACATGGGAAATGCTGGCCTGGGGCGGCAGGGGTTCCTGACACAGAGAGGACGAGTGAGGGAAATTATAGGCAGAGCAGGTGGTATGGGCCAGGAGATACCAAAGAACATGGAGTTGGGCAAATCGACACACCTCGAAGGGAAAATTAAGAGAACTTAACCACACGGAACATTGTGAACCAAGAAAGGGGGTGGCGGGAAAGTTGTAGCTCATGACCCACTGACGACTGTGAATGAAATACTTCCTTCTACGCAGGGGCTTCGAACAGTTCATGGAAAACGCACATCATGTAAAAAAAATGATGCATCGATTTCCAATTTTTTATTTTTGCACAAAAAGAAACTTACACTTAATTCAATTTTCCAAAAACTTTTTTGAATATCTTTTATTTTGCTGAAGTTTATGAAAAATGTCATAGTCTGATTTCTTTAAACTTTGTTAAAGGTTGTATTATACAACGACTTATTTTAAAAGCATTTTTTAAAAACCTAACCAATAGTAGCACAAAACAAAGCATTACTCGATACCATCTTCTGTACAAGCCAGGGTTGGTGGCTGAAAAGGTGTACTGCTTGGGGCCAGCAGGGATCACAATGGTTAAGCTGCTGGACTCCCACATAGTCAACCATGGAGGGTTCGACTCCCAGACCTGGCAACTTGAAACTCACACTGGGTGCATGAGGCATGCGTGTCCAAAATCCCAAGAAGAGAATGAAGGAGAAGGGATTACAGTGTGGCCATCCCCCTAAGGGAGGTGATTTCTCACCCCCCCCACTCTCTCTCTCTCTCTCTCTCCCCAATGGCACACACCCTATGGCAAAAAAAAAAAAAGAGCTTAAAACAAACAAGGAAAACAAAATGTGTTGTCGTAGGTGACAAAAGTGATTAGGAGGAATCAGAGAGCTGTGCATCTACTGTGTAAGGGCACAGCTGTTTCCAACGAGGAGATAAAGAACCGGCTGAAGGCTAATGCCCACGGGCACCCGGGTCTGATAACATCTCCCCGCACAAAGGCCAGCGGATTAGCTCTTGTTTTAAAGAGGCTGCCAGAGCTTGCCAAGGAAAATATGTGATTGATCTAATTAGCTTACTGAACCGCGGAACCCGTGTGCCAGAATCACCGTGCCCACAAGGACTTCTCCCAGGACAAAGAAGCTCCTCCTTCAACTTAAGCATTCACCCTCATCAACAGGGACGAGCCCTGGCACCGCTCCGCAGAGGAGCTTAATGAGTTTTATTGGGTGCCAGTGACATCCACGGGAGCCCCGAAAGAATGAGCTCTCGTGGCGAAAAGGAGGAAGACACAGAAAGGACTGTAGACATGCAGGTGCCGTGGCTCAACTCCAACTACCAGCTGGGGCCTGCAATTTCCCTA